GGGGTTTCACCATGTTGACCAGGATGGTCTCGATCTCTTGACCTCGTGATCCACCCGCCTCGGCCTCCCAAAGTGCTGGGATTACAGGCTTGAGCCACCGCGCCCGGCCTTATTTACTTTTCTTTTTTGAGATAGAGTCTCCTTGTGTCACCCCGGCTGGAGTGCAGTGGCGCCATCTTGGCTCACTGCAACCTCCACCTCCTGGGTTCAAGCGATTCTCCTGCCTCAGCCTCCCAAGTAGCTGGGATTGCAGGCATGCGCTACAATGCCTGGCTAATTTTTGTATTCTTAGAAGAGACGAGGTTTTACCACGTTGGCCAGGCTGGTCATGAAGTCCTGACTGCAAGTGATCTGCTCGTCTCAGCCTCCCAAAGTGCTGGGATTACAGGCTTGAGCCACCGCGCCCAGCCAAGGCACAGTTCTAAATCATCCAAGAGGATTGCAAATATCTGAGGAAACAATTCTGGTTTTGGTACTAAACAATTTTCTCTGGGAAAATATCTATCTAGTTTTACAGTTGCCGTAGGCCAAAATATTGATAGCAGAGTAACTTAAAAATACTTATGTCAAGCAACCTTAATTTAGATTTTTTTTTTTTGAGACAGAGTCTTGCTCTGTCACCCAAGCTAGAGTGCAGTGGCATAATCTTGGTTTACTGCAACTTCCACCTCCCAGGTTAAAGTGATTCTCCTGCCTCAGATTCCCAAGTAGCTGGGATTACAGGCACCCACCACCACTCCTGGCTAATTTTTGTATTTTTAGTAGAGACAGGGTTTCATCATGTTGGCCAGGATGGTCTCAATTTCCTGACCTCGTGATCTGCCTGCCTCGGCCTCCCAAAGGGCTGGGATTACAGGCGTGAGCCACTGTGCCTGGCCTAAAACAAATATTTTTAAACCTGTGTTTGTTGCACCACCTGCAGCTAAGAAACCTTGAGGGCTTGTTAAAAATGCAGATTCCACACCAGGCACAGCAGTATGTGCCTGTAAGTTCCAGATAGAGACAGAGCGAGAAAATTTTTGAGACAGGGTCTTGTTCAGCCAGACTGAAGTGCAATGGCTACTCAGAGACACAGTCATAGCTCACTGCAGACTCCAACTCCTGGGCTCAACTGGTCCTCTCGCCTCAGCCTCCCAAAGTGCTGGGATTACAGGTGTGGGCCCCCAGGACCAACCAAAAAATTGTTGAAAGTGTAGATTCCAGGATCTCACTCCAGACCTACTAAGTTTGGATTTTTGCAGGTGGAGCCTGCATTTTAAACAAACCCTCAGGGGATTCTAGTGTACTTTAGTTTGTTAGCCATTGCTTTGTTCACTGGCAAGATTGTGGCAAACATTCCTAACATGATTTCACAAAGATTAGAAAGGAAAACAAAGATCTCTGAAACCGAATGACTTGCATCCTGGGGATTTCTGAGGCCCATTTTAATGCGTGTTAATTCTTGCACTGCAATCAGAAGGGAAAAACAAAAAGTCCATGTATTTGAGCTTAACGATTTCTGCTACCCAATGAATATTACTCAACACTCTCCCTAACGAAAGTTCCGAGTTTATGGTTTCCTAGACACTGAGAAGACCAGATTTAGCTTACAGCTGCACTATTTTTTCCTTCTAGCTACAGTAGTTTATTCTTGTGTGTCTCTGTCTGCTGAGATTCTATCATGCAATGGTGACAGTCTTCTAGAATCAAACAAGGCTTTACTTCTGAGAAGATGCTAAGGAAAAGGAAGGTCACAAAAAAATTAAGTTGCCATTTTTTTATCTATAAATGGAGATATATTATGAAAGACTACCACAAGCCATCTCAGGTTTCTGTGTTAGGGTTAGCCCCAACTCACTTAAGATACCTCTAAATTTATGTTCTTTTTTTTTTTTTTTTTTAAGATGGAGTCTCACTTTGTTGCCCGGGCTGGAATGCAGCAGCACAATCTCAGCTCACTGCAACCTCTGCCTCCCAGGTTCAAGAGAGTCTCCTGCCACTGCACTCCAGCCTGGCAACAGAGTGAGACTCCATCTGAAAAAAAAAAAAAAAAAAGAGATTCTCCTGCCTTAGCCTCCTGAGTAGCTGGGATTACAGGTGCATGCCACCACATCCGGCTAATTTTGTATTTTTAGTAGAGAAGGGTTTTCACCATGTTGGCCAGGCTGGTCTCTAACTCCTGACCTCAGGTAATCCACACACCTCAGCCTTCCAAAGTGCTGGGATTACAGGCATGAGCCATCGTGCCTGGCCATTTATATTCATTTTTTATATTTAAAAATGGTAATAAACACATACTTAAAAATGTTGACTTCTATGTTAAAAATATCATCATTGGTATGATTTTTACTTCCTAGAAAATCAACTTCAGACCGGGTGCGGTGACTCATGCCTGTAATCCCAGCACTTTGGGAGGCGAAGGCAGGCAGATCATGAGGTCAGGAGATCGAGACCATCCCGGTCAACATGGTGAAACCCTGTCTCTACTAAAAGTACAAAAATTAGCTGGACGTGGTAGCTTGCACCTGTAGTCCCAGCTACTAGGGAGGCTGAGGCAGGAGAATTTCTTGAACCTGGGAGGCAGAGGTTGCAGTGAGCTGAGATCACGCCATTGCACTCCAGCCTGGGCAACAAGAGCAAAACTCCGTCTCACAAAAAAAAGAAAATCAACCTCAAAACCATATATAAAGAAAACTTTATTTACAGGCCAGAAATCCTATTTTTCTATTTCCCTTCTAAACTTCATTCATCTAAAAACACGATTTTAACATAGTTGTAATTATAGTTTACCAGCAAATTTAAGTTCTACTTTTTCTACTTTGTGTTACTTTAAAAATGTTTGCTTATTTCTTCATAGCATCAGAATTAATTTAAAAGCTGCTTAAAAAAAAATTAAGACGGTTGACATACTGTCTTTTATCCATTCCTGTATGTAGAAACATTTCGGTTATATCTAGTTTCAAGTTATTACAAGTAATACAATTAGACTTATCTGAATAGGAGGCTTTTTTCTTTTAAAAGTTATTAATTTATTCTAAATTCCCAGCAATGGTTTTACTAGCTTAAAGTGCGTGGACAATTTTCCAGGTCTTAATATGTAACATATTTACCCTTTGCCCTTCAAAAAAATTATACCAGCCTTCATTATCACAGCTATGTGAAACAAAACTGAATTTCTAAAAAGGTTGCAAAGTGCTGACTTTTACTTTTTTAAGCATTTCACTTTATTTTTGTTACATTATCAGGTATATTAAGGTTTTAATTTTGAGTTCTTCATTATGATTAATAATTTTTAAGTTATAAGGATACTAGGAACCATTCCAAGGAGTTTATCTATATAAAATTATATTTTCTCTAAGAATAGTTTAAATAAACTCTCAATGCATGAAAATATAAAAACCAACCCTCAATATATTAAATATATCATTAAGATAAATTTTTATATTTCCAGATAATAAATCATCTCATTTCACAGAGGTAGAAAGGCGCAGATAATTAGGCCAAGAAAAAAAAAATAAGACTTCTAGATTTTTTAACATATCTTTTTTTTTTTTTTTTTTTTTTTTTTTTTTTTTT